TTTGCTCTTTCAGAGAACTGAGACAGTAACACACCTCCCAATGAGTTGTGGGACAATGAAATGAGCAAGTCACAGCAGGTGCTTGGCACAGCAGTGTCTCCCGTCACCACTGTTTCCTTTTCTTGGGTCCTGGCATCATTTCTCACAGCGCGGTCAGTGGCGGCAGCAGAGGTCACAGAACGAGGCTAACAAGTGTGACCTGGCAGAACTCCAGCCCAATAGTATGGGTAAGACGCAGCGCGGATTGAAAATGTGCTTTTCCATAAACATAGTTGCATGAGTTATAGCAAAACACAACTGGAAGTATTTACAACCTCTACTCTAAGCTCCTTCCCTGCTGGAGTCCCGCTGGAAAACCATGCCCTGCAAACACCATGTAAGTCACTGTTTTCTCACCCCGCCAAGGGCAGGGCAGGTCTAGAGAGACGTTAGCCTCCCGATTCCTGGGCACTAGAGCTCAACCTCTCACAGGTGGCGGACGGGCTTCTCCCAGCAAACCCTCCAGTTTAATCTAAGTCCAGTTAAATAAAGACAGGCACTCCTCTGACTTAGGTAAATATGGGATCTGAAACAATAGTATAAATGGTAGTAAACACTGTCATTTTAAAACACACTGAACACATACACATTTGAAATCTTATAAAAAACATTGAATTTTAAAATATTATAGCCTTCATGTTCGAAGTTTAGATTAATATACATTAATATATTTTCTGCGATTTTTCACTATTCACGTTGGCAGTTACCTGTCATGTATTTCCACACCAAGGCACAGAGTAACTGAGATGTAGCATTAGGCAAGATGCCATAGTCACTGAATCTAAGACACCACAACATTATCTTACGTACCACTAAGACTACAAAGGAAGTATAAGATACCACTGACTACACAATGCTGTCTGATTTCTAAGACTTAAAATGTGAAAAAGACCTATTAAATTGAAATGGATAGACACGTGTGTATATACACGTGTGCGCACACGTATTACTGAGCCTGAAGAAGCAGCTAGGTCTCCTGACTTGCCAGCCAATGTTCTGGTCAACTAGTCATTAAAAAATCTAGAAGCTGAGTCTATGACCATAAAATTCAGACCTCTGTTGCCCAGCCTACCTACCATTATCCCTGCCCGCGCTTTCCCCGCCTGTGCCTCCTTTGTAGCTCCGAGATGGTCTAGAACAGGGGTGGGCAAACTTTTTGACTCGAGGGCCACAATGGATTCTTAAACTGGACCGGAGGGCCGGAACAAAAGCATGGATGGAGTGTTTTTGTGAACTAATATAAATTCAAAGTAAACATCACTACATAAAAGGGTACGGTCTTTTTTTTTTTAGTTTTATTCATTTCAAACGGGCAGGATCCGGCCCGCGGGCCGTAGTTTGCCCGGCTGGTCTAGAATACCACGCAAGAGACGAACATGCTGCAACAGGGCCAGTGTCGGGTGGAACAGATTCGTGGAGAGCCCGTGGCAGCCGAGGAAGCACTTATGGTGATGAGAGCACTAACTTCAGGGAAATGTGAGCACACCCAGAGGCCACAGCGCACAGTGCTGTCCCCAGGCAGGGGCTGCGATGCTGGACTGTTAGCCTGTGAGCCCCACAGACTCTGGCTTGGCCACATGACTCGTGTGGGTTGACAGAGTATTACCAGGTGTGAGGCAGGTTTGCACACAGGACTTTCTCCCTGGGCCGCCCACTCTTGGAAGCCAGCAATCATGCAATAAAGGAACAGAAGCCAATGGAGACGAGAGGCCCCCTGTGCACCCATCCCTGCGTGGAGCAGGTGAGCACAGCCCGCGGGAGCTCAGCTGCACCTCCAGAACAGAGCACGGGTGCTGCCCACAGACCTGAGACCACCGCCTCTCCAAGGCCAGCAAGTCTGAGGCAGTCTGATCAGCTGCCGGAACAGTGAACCAACCACCCAGAAAGCCCACGCCTGCCCAGTTCACTGGTACCTCAAAATGCTCCTTGATAACGTAGGCGTTTGCGATTTTAGCCTTGATGCCTTCGTAATCTCCGACGTCACTAATGCAGATGGCACACCACTAAAAATAGAAAACAGATGTAAGAATAACAAGGCTTAATACTGGTCCATTCAACACAGGTAAAACTGAGTATTCCTCATTCAACAAAAGTTACTGCGCATAAACACCGTACTCAATACACTGGGGCAGACAGAGAAGTGGACAGCCTCGGGAGCTCCAGGAGAAGCTGGCCCTGTGTGCTCCTAGACCAGTGGTCGGCAAACTGCGGCCCCTCGAGTGTGGCTCTTCCACAAAATACCACGTGCGGGCACGCACGTACAGTGCGACTGAAACTTCGTGGCCACACTCAAGGGGCCAAAGAGCCGCATGTGGCTCACAAGCCGCAGTTTGCCGACCACTGTCCTAGACGAAGGTACAAGGCAGAGAACAGCGAGTCTCTAGGATGGTCATCAACACAACACTGTAGTGATTCACAGTGAGATCAACTATCATCTTACTCCCTCGTCCTTTGTTCTGGGCGTTGCCTCCTCCCACATCTGCACGGTCCTGCTTCCAGTCACTGGCAATTTGAAACTTTGGAAGCTTGCTGAATTAAAAAATAAAATAATATACCTAGATATTTTTGAAATGACAAAATACTGAAATATTAATCTAAATTTGCCTCATGAAAATCTAGAAGACAAAATTAAATATATTAATTGATTGTGTCCTGTATTTTTAAAGTTTATTCTTAAAAATATAAGGTGTTGCCCTGGCCAGTTTGGCTCAGTGGATAGAGTGTCGGCCTGCAGACTGAAGGGTCCCAGGTTCGATTCCGGTCAGGGGCATGTGCCTTGGTTGCGGGCACATTACCAGTGGGGGGTGTGCAGGAGGCGGCTGATCAATGTTTCTCTCTCATCGATGTTTCTGACTATCCCTCTCCTTTCCTCTCTGTAAAAAAATCAATAAAACATATTTAAAAAAAAAAAAAATATATATATATATATATATATATATATAAGGTGTTTTTAATTTAAAGAAATGTTAAATATTTGACTTGCCAGCTAAGAGTTTAAAGTTCAAGTTAAATTAAATTGGGAAAAATCATATAGTTGTGGTAAAATTTCAACATTGGTCTAATTAAAAAAGAGGATTAATTCTGTGATCTCAACCAAATTTTTAATATAAAAACCAGTTAAATTTTAATTGATACCTTTTAATAATTATAAAAAATATATATAATCTTTAAATCATATATACATGTATATTTGATGGTCTTTCCAGTTAAATTTCAAGGCTATAACCGAGGGATGATTTTTGGAAAACTAAGGGCCCGGGGTGATTCAAAAAGTTTGTTCTCTCTTCTTAAAGGAAATATTTTTTAATTAAGCCAATCTAATATACTTGAAATCACATGGAAAGCTTTATCAAATAAAAATTAATAAATATATTTTACTTATATACATATATCTTAAATGTTATGAAGGTTTTGGCCTCTAAGGAGGACAAAATAAAGTAGCTTAAATATTTCTTAAAATCCAACAGCAGGATTTTAAGACAGAATAAAGCAAACAAAAGCCCCTAGTCGCCTGCATTTTAAATTAGGCTGGAGGTGGGGCAGTGTTTGTGCCTTGCGAATCAGATGTGTAAGTTTACTAAATTTACTTGCTTTGCTTTTTTAATAAAAATACCTACTTAAATTATTTAATAAATTAGCTTTTAAAATATAATCAAGGTCTCATAAATTAAGTTATATGAGAAGCCAGTATTTTATAAACAATTTAATCCTAGTAAACTTTTCTAAATTACTGAGGCTTCCCATAATCACTCTGTATATGCAAATGAGCCCAAAGGGGATACTCTTAAAAATATAATTATAAATTTAATAAAAAGGAGAAATTTTAAAATTTTGAAATCTCTTCCACTAATATTTATAGGATAATCTAAAGATTGTTGTTAAAATACCAAATCTAACTATAATAGTAGTCACCATGATCGTAAGGGAAGTTGTTTAATGTGACATGGCCTGGCACTATCAAACAACACACAAAAAGCAACCATGTCTGTTATATTTGTTGCTTGTTGAAACAAAAGAAAGACCAAAGCTTGTTTTAAATTCTTTAAGTATAGCCTAGAAATTATTCTGGAAGAAAATTTTCCAAAAAATATTTCCTTCAAATATCTGGAAAACTGCAATTGGAAGTAAATACATTAGGCCCTGAAAAATAAAAGTAAATATTTTGTGTTTTTGTTGTTCTTGACAAAGTTTATGTAAAATTACTCAAACACTAATTGCAAAAGTTTAATTACTAACATGTATTGTCCATAACCTAGGGCAAGTAAAGTTAACAATAATAAAAAAATAAACCTTATTTCAGATTAATTTAAATTAGCTAATTGATATAAGTAAACTTTTAAGAAAACTTAATTGTACTGTACAGGAAACTGTTCCTGAAGCATTAACTAATTTTTATTGATGGTTAACATACAATGAATCATATTTCTATACAAGAAATTGAAGTTAAAAGTTACCAAGACTACATTGCAAAATTTCCAAAAAGCCTCCTAATATTTAAATCAAAAAAGGGGGGATAGTGGAATAATGCCCTGTAAGTAAAAGCCTTAATTGCTTTGAATTTTTACTTTGAAGATTATTTTTCACTTGTAATGATAATAGCAAGACACCCATAAAAACACTCATGGTGTCAAAATAAGCCAAAGGAAAATTGTTTGGGCAAAAATTAAAAGGATCCCAAGTCTAATTTATAAAAATGATTCCTTTATTAACTTTTGATCGAGAATATGTTTGTATATTTCCAGAAAACTCCTCCAAGCCCATGTGGATTCCTGCAACAACGGATCCCAGAGAGGAACTGATGAGACTGCTCCAGCCACAGAATAGCAGTGGCCCCAGAACAACAGAAGAGAAACAGTCCAGAAATGAAGATGGTGAAGACGCCTTGCCATGCTAGCAGTCAGCAGCTGTGCGTAGCTGCAGGTTGCCCAGGACCAAACTAGAGAGGGTCGGACCTGCATTGCCACCGTCTGTCCACCATCCAGAACTGAAATATCATTGCTGACATGTACACATAAGAAACAGTTGGACATTGAACTGGGACTCTAAGAACTGTTGACCCAGAAAGAAACTCACTGCAAACTGATTCCTTTAATGCCTGCCAGCAATTTAAAGGGACATGATAGAACTCTATCCTTTCCATTGAATTTAAAAATCTTAAAACATACACTCTTGTTAAATTTTAAATAATCAAAAAGGGCGAGATGCCGGAGACCAATTCTAGAATGACAGCAGGGCTGAATCTGGGAATGGCTGATGACATTTCCCCAAACCTGAATAAGATGCATTAAATTGATTGTTTGCTGCCACAAGGCTCAGGGCATTTTTTTTTTTTTTTAGCACAGGAAAACATGGTTTAAAGGGAACTATATTAATACATTTGTAATAGTATTCTACATCATAATATGTAGTAGTATGAAATTGATAAGGTGGTATTTTTTTAATTGTTTTATTGCTTAAAGTATTACAAAGAGTATTACATGTCTCCTTTTTTTCCTGCCCTTAACAATCCCCCGGCCTCCCCTACCCCCCAGTGTCTTATGTCCATTGGTTATGCTTATATGCATACATATAAGTCCTTCGGTTGATCTCTTACCCACCACCCCTCCTGCCCCTCAACCCTCCCTGGCTTTCCCATTGTAGTTTGACAGTCTGTTCGAGGCAGCTCTGCCTCTGTATCTATTTTTGTTCATAAGTTTATAATGGTCTTTATTATCCATGAGTGAGTGAGATCATGTGGTGTTTTTCCTTCGTTGACTGGCTTATTTCACTTAGCATAATGCTCTCCAGCTCCATCCATGCTGTTGCAAATGGTAAGAATTCCTTCTTTTTTATAGCAGCATAGTATTCCATCGTGTAGATGTACCACAGTTTTCTAATCTATTCATCTACTGATGGGCACTTAGGCTGTTTCCAGATCTTAGCTATGGTGAATTGTGCTGCTATGAACATCTGGGTGCATATATCCTTTCTGATTGGTGTTTCTGGTTTCTTGGGATATATTCCTAGAAGTGGGATAACAGGGTCAAATGGGAGTTCCATTTTTAGTTTTTTGAGGAAACTCCATACTGTCTTCCACAGTGGCTGCACCAGTCTGCATTCCCACCAGTAGTGCACGAGTGTTCCTTTTTCTCCACATCCTCTCCAGCACTTGTCATTTGTTGATGTGTTGATGATAGCCATTCTGACAGGTGTGAGATAGTACCTCATTGTTGTTTTGATTTGCATCTCTCGGATGATTAGTGACTTTGAGCATGTTTTCATATGTCTCTTGGCTTTCTGAATGTCCTCTTTTGAAAGGTGTCTATTTAGGTCCTTTGCCCATTTTTTTTTATTAAATCTTTATTGTTCAGATTATTACATTTCTTCCTCTTTTTTTTCCCCCCATAACTCCCCTCCTTCCAGCTCCCACCCCACCCTCCGCCCTCACTCCCCACCCACTGTCCCAGAGGCTCCTTACACTATCTTCGTATTTTTGGGTTCTTTTTTCATTTTGCTTTTCCGGTTGGGTGTTTCTCGCTTCTTCGCATTTCAAATCTTTGACTTGATTCTTGCGCTCCTCTGGTCTGCTGTTGGGAGTCTGTATAATATTCTTTATTTCAGTCAGTGTATGCTTACTTTCTAGATGGTCCTTTATCACACCATCAAGGGTCTCATTAGATTTCCTGTACATCTCATCAAGTTTATCGACAGACTCTAGAAGCCTCTTGAGAGACCTCAGAAGTGTGGTTCTGAACTCAATATCCTCCCTTGATGGTTTTGTCCTGTTTCTTTGTCTCCGCATTTTTTACGCTTTCTTGGTACACGCCCTAGTGGTCTTTGTGTGCAGTCTTGTTGTAGTTAAGCCTTGATTGTTGTAGTTAATACTAGAGGGATTTGACCTCCAGGCCGACTGGCTGTGATAATCCCATTTTTTGATTGGATTGTTTATCTTCCTTTTGTTGAGTTATATGAGTTCCCTATAAATATTGGAGATTAAACCCTTATCAGTAATAACATTGGAAAA